GTACAACTAGATTTTCCGAAGATCTTCTTTCTTTTCAACATACCTGTCAGTCTAGGTAAAGGTATAATGCGACTACACTCAAGTTCTATTCTGGCCCCAACTCTCTGATAACAACCATTCACGCTTCATGTGGTCGGCATAGTGACAGCGGTCACATCGTACCCCCTTCCCCAAGGACGCATACGAGAACCCTCACCATTCATTTTTCCGTGTAATTGTAGTGCCCTGATAAGAAAGTACCGAAAAACGCGTTTAACAACTGAATTTTGCAGAAGTAACCTGGGAATATTAACAGCTGTCATGTTGTGCTCACCGAAATGAGTTTGTTTGTTCACTGACGGTTCGGGCAGCTCAGCTGGCTATCTTTTGTCAAACGTAAACCGACTTTATCCGCCAGCAATTTGAAGCTGGGGCTGTACGTGTCGGCCGTGGGTTGATTGATTTTGCTTCGCTCGCTGCTTGGTCCCTCGTGTAGATTTTGACCTAACTTGGCGGCAATTAGTGTTGCGTTTCGTGTCCACCGTAGATGTCGGTAATCCTGCTTCCTCTATCAGGGGTTTCGTCACGGGGCCGTCTTCACTTGCAATTTCTATGTTCGGTTTGGCCTTGTCCTGTCCTTTACTCACGCAATGGCGTAGGCCTTTGTAGGCCGCGGGAAGATCTATATGTCTGTTGACGGAGTTGGCATCTTATTACCATGCCTAAAGCGTCAGTCTTTCCGCTTTTGAGGTTTCCTGGCTTAACATCGTCGCTCTTTAAATGTCGAAGTTGTGACCGGTCTCTCCGATATGTGTTGCATGCTGCGACTTTGGATCTAGTGTCTGGATGGAACACTTGGTCTTCACCAAGTATCAAACAAAATGTTGGGCTCCTTATTCTGATGACACTTTCGTCATTGTCAAAACGTCTGACAGTGAGCACCTCAAAGAGTTACTGGCCTCGGTTGATCCAAATATAAAGTTCACAAAGGAAGCGGAAAGAAATAACCAAGGTCCCTTCCTCAATGTTCTTGTGCGCCGGTGTCCAACTGGACCACCGCAAACCACAGTATTCAGAAAAGCCACCAGCACAGAGCAAATACTACACTTCAACAGCCATCACCCCTTGTCTCACAAAAGAAGCTGTGTTCCTACTCTTTTCCAAAGAGTTGAAACACATTGAAGCCCAAAGTCCTGCAAAATCCCGGACACTTCGAAATTTGACAATTGTTGCTTCTGCTGAGTACTAGACTGAGAATTCAATTCCACAATCGAGCATTGCAGATTGAGCTTCTGCAAAGGCTGAGTTAATCTTCTTAACAAAGAAATTCGCTGTATTATCATCTCAAAGTACTCATCTACGTTTATGCATTTGGAATTCCAAAGAAACTTAAGTTTCTCAACATGACGACCCTACCCAACTTATGAAGCACGTTTGTTCTATTGTATTTCCCTCAGAGTTAAGGCAATATTCTTAATCGGAAAGTCGATCCTTGTTGATTGAGAAAAACTTAGTAAATTTTTATGTTCCACTTCTCAAGCCAAAGGGGACGCGCGACCGGGGCTCGCACACAGTACCACTTGGGTCACAATCGAACGTCAAACTTGCTGCACCATAGAGTCACGGTCGGAGACGCGTTCGAAAGTGTCATAAATTTATCACAACCGACGTATTTAGAAAAGTCATGTTCCGGATGCCGAACGATAGCCGCCAAGTTAAACCAACTGGAACTAGAAGTCAAAAACACGAAAGAGTTTATACACAGGTCTATAATTCCGGAAGATACTACGCAAAGACTAACTCGGAGTAGAACGAAGGGTATTACGCTTAAAACATGCCCAGAAAACAGGCAAGTGGCGTCTAAGATACCCGTAAAAAATAGTATGGTCGTGCATCACAAAGAGCCAAAGACTAAGAACAAGACACCTCCGGCTACCACACAAAAAGTCGCCTTGTTCCGAAAGGGAAGCGGTCGGGCCCGCTCAATAAGCAAATGTCAGAGCAAAAGGAAATCGCAGCCCGAGTTGAGGGTCGAATACCTCT